TCTGTTGACTTTAAAAAAAAAGAGGTTTGTACCTATGTTATTTGCTTATTATTTCTTGCCTATATCTTGTAATATGAGAAACTACTTTGGCAGTAACAATATACAATGTACTAAGCATTGTTACTCTCCTAAGATCTTGTTTTGAGATTTTGTACCATTGTTTTTATTTCTTTTATTTTAAAATAAAAATAACTGATGTCAAAAAAAAGTGTGAATAATGATGATAAGCAGGATTTATAATAAATGTAACTAAGAAATATGGATACTGTGGAACTATTTATGGAATAAGCAGGATAGCCTGTGCAAATATTTCTTACCTTCTTTTTTTTTTTCTAGTGTTGCGTTTATTTGTATTTTTAGTGACTATTTTTGAGGCAATGAATATATACTCAGGAATATTTCACTTGCCTTTTTTTTTTTTTTTTGTATTTAGGACAGGGTTTACAGGATGTACAGGGTCTCACTGCATAGATCAGACTCATAGTGGTCATCGTCCTGTTTACAGCCTTCCAAGAGCTGGGATTATAGGCACGCATCACCAGGCCCAGTCTCAATCGTCCCCTCAGTGCGCCCCAGGGGCAGGGCCAGCACAGCAGACCTGGGAATTGAACCCCCAGCCCCTACGCCTGCTTGCAGGCGCTTTAATCTGCTGAGTTATTTGACTGGTCCTTCACTTTCCTTTTTAATGAGAACATAGAATAAAATTAGTTGTATGTACAACCATATGTCTACAAAGTTTTTCAGATTGAAATATATCTCATTGGTGTTTTGCTGACCAATTTATTCATTGCCAAAATGTCCACCAGTGTCACAAATCACAATGAAATCAATATAGCCATTACTTTTGTCTTTCTCTTATGAACTTGTGTAGTATACCTGCCTTTCTCTTGTGGCCTTTGTCATTTTGCCTTGCCTTACAGTCATCTGCGAGCAAGCCTTTTGTGACCGTGTCATCAGGGAGCTCTCAGCCCATCACACTGTTGCTTGATTTGGGAGTGCCAGCCAGTTGGCCTCTAGGGCCCAGATTCACGTGTGTGGGCACCTTTCCATTCCCAGAATTTGAACTACAGTATCTTCATTACTTACATGGACTTTTCTTCACTTTGGGGTGATATCAAATCCTGAGAAAAGTCTGTTTTTAAAATAAAAAGATCCCAAATTTTCTGATCAAGAAGATTATGGGGCCAAAGAGGAAAGTGATCGATGACGTAGAGTGTGCCTAAGGAGAGTCACATGGGGAGAAGACACTCT